GCTGTCTGTTACATAAGACCTCCAGCTGTGCTGTTTGTTACTTAGACCTCCAGCTGTGCTGATTGTTACTTAGACCTCCAGCTGTGCTGATTGTTACTTAAGACCTCCAGCTGTGCTGTCTGTTACTTAGACCTCCTGCTGTGCTGTTTGTTACTTAGACCTCCAGCAGTGCTGTCTGTTACTTAGACCTCCAGCTGTGCTGTTTGTTACTTAGACCTCCAGCAGTGCTGTCTGTTACTTAGACCTCCAGCTGTGCTGTCTGTTACTTAGACCTCCAGCTGTGCTGATTGTTACTTAAGACCTCCAGCTGTGCTGTCTGTTACTTAGACCTCCAGCTGTGCTGTTTGTTACTTAGACCTCCAGCAGTGCTGTCTGTTACTTAGACCTCCAGCTGTGCTGATTGTTACTTAAGACCTCCAGCTGTGCTGTCTGTTACTTAGACCTCCAGCTGTGCTGATTGTTACTTAAGACCTCCAGCTGTGCTGTCTGTTACTTAGACCTCCAGCTGTGCTGATTGTTACTTAAGACCTCCAGCTGTGCTGTCTGTTACTTAGACCTCCAGCTGTGCTGTTTGTTACTTAGACCTCCAGCAGTGCTGTCTGTTACTTAGACCTCCAGCTGTGCTGATTGTTACTTAGACCTCCAGCTGTGCTGTTTGTTACTTAGACCTCCAGCTGTGCTGATTGTTACTTAGACCTCCAGCTGTGCTGTCTGTTACTTAGACCTCCAGCTGTGCTGTTTGTTACTTAGACCTCCAGCTGTGCTGATTGTTACTCAGACCTCCAGCTGTGCTGTTTGTTACTTAGACCTCCAGCTGTGCTGTCTGTTACTTAGACCTCCAGCTGTGCTGTCTGTTACTTAGACCTCCAGCTGTGCTGTCTGTTACTTAGACCTCCAGCTGTGCTGTTTGTTACTTAGACCTCCAGCTGTGCTGATTGTTACTCAGACCTCCAGCTGTGCTGTTTGTTACTTAGACCTCCAGCTGTGCTGAATGTTACTTAGACCTCCAGCTGTGCTGTTTGTTACTCAGACCTCCAGCTGTGCTGTCTGTTACTTAGACCTCCAGCTGTGCTGTTTGTTACTTAGACCTCCAGCTGTGCTGATTGTTACTTAGACCTCCAGCTGTGCTGTCTGTTACTTAGACCTCCAGCTGTGCTGTCTGTTACTTAGACCTCCAGCTGTGCTGTCTGTTACTTAGACCTCCAGCTGTGCTGATTGTTACTTAGACCTCTAGCTGTGCTGTTTGTTACTTAGACCTCCAGCTGTGCTGTCTGTTACTTAGACCTCCAGCTGTGCTGATTGTTACTTAGACCTCCAGCTGTGCTGTTTGTTACTTAGACCTCCAGCTGTGCTGTCTGTTACTTAGACCTCCAGCTGTGCTGTCTGTTACTTAGACCTCCAGCTGTGCTTTCTGTTACTTAGACCTCCAGCTGTGCTGTTTGTTACTTAGACCTCCAGCTGTGCTGTTTGTTACTTAGACCTCCAGCTGTGCTGTCTGTTACTTAGACCTCCAGCTGTGCTGTCTGTTACTTAGACCTCCAGCTGTGCTGTCTGTTACTTAGACCTCCAGCTGTGCTGTCTGTTACTTAGACCTCCAGCTGTGCTGATTGTTACTTAGACCTCCAGCTGTGCTGTTTGTTACTTAGACCTCCAGCTGTGCTGTCTGTTACTTAGACCTCCAGCTGTGCTGATTGTTACTTAGACCTCCAGCTGTGCTGTCTGTTACTTAGACCTCCAGCTGTGCTGTTTGTTACTTAGACCTCCAGCTGTGCTGTTTGTTACTTAGACCTCCAGCTGTGCTGATTGTTACTTAGACCTCCAGCTGTGCTGTTTGTTACTTAGACCTCCAGCTGTGCTGTCTGTTACTTAGACCTCCAGCTGTGCTGATTGTTACTTAGACCTCCAGCTGTGCTGTCTGTTACTTAGACCTCCAGCTGTGCTGTCTGTTACTTAGACCTCCAGCTGTGCTGTCTGTTACTTAGACCTCCAGCTGTGCTGTTTGTTACTTAGACCTCCAGCTGTGCTGTCTGTTACTTAGACCTCCAGCTGTGCTGATTGTTACTTAGACCTCCAGCTGTGCTGTTTGTTACTTAGACCTCCAGCTGTGCTGTCTGTTACTTAGACCTCCAGCTGTGCTGTCTGTTACTTAGACCTCCAGCTGTGCTGTTTGTTACTTAGACCTCCAGCTGTGCTGATTGTTACTTAGACCTCCAGCTGTGCTGTCTGTTACTTAGACCTCCAGCTGTGCTGATTGTTACTTAGACCTCCAGCTGTGCTGATTGTTACTTAGACCTCCAGCTGTGCTGATTGTTACTTAGACCTCCAGCAGTGCTGTCTGTTACTTAGACCTCCAGCTGTGCTGTCTGTTACTTAGACCTCCAGCTGTGCTGTATGTTACTTAGACCTCCAGCTGTGCTGTTTGTTACTTAGACCTCCAGCTGTGCTGTTTTTTACTTAGACCTCCAGCTGTGCTGATTGTTACTTAGACCTCCAGCTGTGCTGTTTTTTACTTAGACCTCCAGCTGTGCTGTCTGTTACTTAGACCTCCAGCTGTGCTGATTGTTACTTAGACCTCCAGCTGTGCTGTCTGTTACTCAGACCTCCAGCTGTGCTGTCTGTTACTTAGACCTCCAGCTGTGCTGTCTGTTACTTAGACCTCCAGCTGTGCTATCTGTTACTTAGACCTCCAGCTGTGCTGTTTTTTACTTAGACCTCCAGCTGTGCTGTCTGTTACTTAGACCTCCAGCTGTGCTGTCTGTTACTTAGACCTCCAGCTGTGCTGTCTGTTACTTAGACCTCCAGCTGTGCTGATTGTTACTTAGACCTCCAGCTGTGCTGTCTGTTACTTAGACTGTTTGTTACTTAGACCTCCAGCTGTGCTGTTTGTTACTTAGACCTCCAGCTGTGCTGTCTGTTACTTAGACCTCCAGCTGTGCTGTCTGTTACTTAGACCTCCAGCTGTGCTGTTTGTTACTTAGACCTCCAGCTGTGCTGTCTGTTACTTAGACCTCCAGCTGTGCTGATTGTTACTTAGACCTCCAGCTGTGCTGATTGTTACTTAGACCTCCAGCAGTGCTGTCTGTTACTTAGACCTCCAGCTGTGCTGTCTGTTACTTAAGACCTCCAGCTGTGCTGTTTGTTACTTAGACCTCCAGCTGTGCTGTTTGTTACTTAGACCTCCAGCTGTGCTGTCTGTTACTTAGACCTCCAGCTGTGCTTTCTGTTACTTAGACCTCCAGCTGTGCTGTTTGTTACTTAGACCTCCAGCTGTGCTGTTTGTTACTTAGACCTCCAGCTGTGCTGTTTGTTACTTAGACCTCCAGCTGTGCTGTTTGTTACTTAGACCTCCAGCTGTGCTGTTTGTTACTTAGGCCTCCAGCTGTGCTGTCTGTTACTTAGACCTCCAGCTGTGCTGTCTGTTACTTAGACCTCCAGCTGTGCTGTTTGTTACTTAGACCTCCAGCTGTGCTGTCTGTTACTTAGACCTCCAGCTGTGCTGTCTGTTACTTAGACCTCCAGCTGTGCTGTTTGTTACTTAGACCTCCAGCTGTGCTGATTGTTACTTAGACCTCCAGCTGTGCTGTTTGTTACTTAGACCTCCAGCTGTGCTTTCTGTTACTTAGACCTCCAGCTGTGCTGTTTGTTACTTAGACCTCCAGCTGTGCTGTCTGTTACTTAGACCTCCAGCTGTGCTGTCTGTTACTTAGACCTCCAGCTGTGCTGTTTGTTACTTAGACCTCCAGCTGTGCTGATTGTTACTTAGAACTCCAGCTGTGCTGTTTGTTACTTAGACCTCCAGCTGTGCTTTCTGTTACTTAGACCTCCAGCTGTGCTGTTTGTTACTTAGACCTCCAGCTGTGCTTTCTGTTACTTAGACCTCCAGCTGTCCTGTCTGTTACTTAGACCTCCAGCTGTGCTGTTTGTTACTTAGAACTCCAGCTGTGCTGTTTGTTACTCAGACCTCCAGCTGTGCTGTCTGTTACTCAGACCTCCAGCTGTGCTGTCTGTTACTTAGACCTCCAGCTGTGCTGTCTGTTACTTAGACCTCCAGCTGTGCTGTCTGTTACTTAGACCTCCAGCTGTGCTGTTTGTTACTTAGACCTCCAGCTGTGCTGTCTGTTACTTAGACCTCCAGCTGTGCTGTCTGTTACGTAGACCTCCAGCTGTGCTGTCTGTTACTTAGACCTCCAGCTGTGCTGATTGTTACTTAGACCTCCAGCTGTGCTGTCTGTTACTCAGACCTCCAGCTGTGCTGTTTGTTACTTAGACCTCCAGCTGTGCTGATTGTTACTTAGACCTCCAGCTGTGCTGTTTGTTACTCAGACCTCCAGCTGTGCTGTCTGTTACTTAGACCTCCAGCTGTGCTGTCTGTTACGTAGACCTCCAGCTGTGCTGTTTGTTACTTAGACCTCCAGCTGTGCTGTCTGTTACGTAGACCTCCAGCTGTGCTGTCTGTTACTTAGACCTCCAGCTGTGCTGTTTGTTACGTAGACCTCCAGCTGTGCTGTTTGTTACTTAGACCTCCAGCTGTGCTGTCTGTTACGTAGACCTCCAGCTGTGCTGTTTGTTACTTAGACCTCCAGCTGTGCTGTCTGTTACGTAGACCTCCAGCTGTGCTGTCTGTTACTTAGACCTCCAGCTGTGACGCTACAGACATTAAAGCTAATACATGGACCCGTCATGGATTCCATAACCTTAAGTAAAAACACGAGACGGACGTGTCCTCGAGGCTTCCAGCCATCGTGATTACTGCTGCCTCTGCAGAGCAGGATCCTCCCACGGTGTCCCAGCGAAGAGCTTCTGGGGTGTGTGACGTGTTTGTGACTACCAAAGCAGATATCTGACATCTCTACTGATGGAAACAAATCCCCAGGAAACGGTCCTGATGCATCGGGATAAGGGATCGAACCACAACACCTGGACTGAGCGGTCCTCACAGAGAGACAAAGTGTGGAGCTGGCTAACACCAAGACCCAAAACTCGGTTCTGAACACACACACCTTCAGGAAGGCGTCAATGTCTCCAACAGCTGGGATGAAGTCTGGGATGAAGGGCTTCAGGGAGTGCTCCAGGTCCACGGTCTGGGGGGTGTAGCTGAGGAGACAGGGACAGGGACAAGGACAGGGACATAGACAGAGATGAGGACAGGGACAGAGGACAGGGACGAGGACAGGGACAAGGACATAGACAGAGACGAGGACAGGGACAGAGGACAGGGATGAGGACAGGGACAAGGACAGGGATGAGGACAGGGACAAGGACAGGGATGAGGACAGAGATCAGGACAGGGAGGAGGACAGAGACAGGGACAAGGACAGGGACGAGGACAGAGACAGGCCCTATGTTAGTCAGCAGAAGGTCTGATCAGCAGGAACAGGAAGTAACTGAACTATGATGGGGTGGTGCGTCACTGATGTTAGGAACCTGAGTAGAGACCAGGACCACAGAATGGACACAAAGGTCAAAGGTCAGGGGTTACAGATTGGAGCAGATGGAGGTTTGCTGCTGAACAAAGTGTGTGTGTGTGTGTGTGTATGTGTGTGTGTTAGGGCTGCAACTAACGATTATTTTCATAATCGATTAATCTGTCGATTATTTTTTCGATTAATCGATTAATCGGTTTGTTATTGTTTAGCTATTTAACCTATACAAGTGATGAATACATTTCAGTTAAGAAAAAGAAAAACATAAGAGAATTGTGCAGTTGACTGCAATCTATTTTATTGCACATGAACACAGTCAGCGGTGTAAAATGAGCTAAACAGTGCAAAATATCAGTCCAGAATAATTTTTTGGCATCAAAATATAAGAAGTAAATTCCATAAAAAAATAATGTAGAATCTAGAATAGAGTTTGTAAGTGGTATGCATTGCTGGGGGGTGAGTGTCTTGTTCCCCATGTAGTTGTCCATCGTTGCTTGTTTTTTTCTGCATAAGAAACACAAATAAACTGAATTAAGTACACATATAAAATAAGCAGCACACACACTACAACACTAAATCAATATTACATTATTTGAATTAATTAACAATATACAGTGATCATTTAATTTGACAAAAATGTGTTGTGAGGCGTTTTACGGCGTTAGATAGTAAAACAGCCTTTTAATAGTTAAAAAAAGGACTTTCTGAATTTCTCCTGTATTTAAAAATTGAAAGCGTACAACTATGCCGCGTTATATTCACCTGGACACAGCTCGTCTGTATATTTTTCACCGCGGAGTTGTCCTTTTTTGAATGAGGAACATAGTTATGGGTTTGTGCCGTTTTTCTCTTAACGAGAACATTCTTATAAACAGACGTGCTAAATTTGGCAAGCGCATGATACACAACACGGAGGAGATTCACGATTGCATCTAGTCAATCAGAAGTAGAACACCGTAGACTGACACGGCAAAAAAACATGTTTAACATCCACTATAACGAACTCAGCTAACACTAAGTCCCAAATTTGATCTGCGTTAGCTTGTTTATTTTCTGTTACTTACCGGACTTTCCTCTGCTGCATCAGCCCCCACGTTTTCGTCTCAAATGTTCACTTAGGGACGCCGTGCTTCCGTCGTGCCATGGTTTTTGCATATTTTGCAGGTCACCGGTCTTTTCAAGGCATCTAGTGAAGTGCTCCCATACTCGTGAGGTTTTTGTCCGGGGTTTCTCTTGTTTTGTCGCTTCTATTTTTCTTCCGTATTTCTTGTTGATCCGCCATCTCTCACAGCAAGATGAGCGTCAGTAACGTGATACGTCATGAAAACCGAGGGCACTTATTGGCTCATTTCTTCTTCTACGGCTCCACTGGTAGATCAGTGGCTCATTACTGCCACACACTGGCGGCAAATTTAACAGATTGTAACCGATGTCAGATTGTGGTAAAAATAGACTTTATGCGGTAAAAAATGATTATTAAACAACTAATCGATGACTAAAAAAGTTGTTAACTATTTTAATAATCGATTATAATCGATTAAATCGAATAGTTGTTTCAGCACTAGTGTGTGTGTGTGTGTGTGTGTGTGTGTGCTCACCGGGTGATGTACTGGAACAGCTCTTTGATCTCAGTGCTAACAGGTAGGTGAGCGTAGTCTGCTGGGTTGTAAGCTCCTTCCAGAGACTCTGTGGGCTCATCATCATCATCATCATCATCTGTATCTTCCTCATCAGAATCCTCCTCTTCCTCCTCGTCCTGGTTTGGACCGGGCCCAGGCTCAGTGGGTCTCTGAGGCCTGTGGTGGTCCTTGAACTCATCACTGCTGCTGTTGGCTGACAGGAGGCTGTGGGTCTTCCTGTGTGCTTCTGACTGGAGACAAGGATGCATGTGGACTCAGGTGAGCAGCCAATACAGGTGACGCTGGTCCAGACTCTAGACTGCTGTAATGGGCCCTAACAGCACCCAGGTACCGGTTCTGGGTGTGATTCTGCTCAGGAAAACCATCTGAGCTAGAACACAGATTCAGTTTAGTGTTGGAGTCATCCATGAGCCTCTGTGATCGTTTATCTGTCCTGCTTCCTGCTGGGTCTGCACGCGCACACACGTACACACACAAACGTGCACACACACACGTCTGTCTTTCTACCTAACCATAACCTTAACTAAAACATGTTTCACACCAGACCTTTAACTGGTACACACACACACACACACACACACACACACACACACACACACACACACACACACACACACACACACACACCTGTGAGTCAGAAACGTCAGTGCCCAGCTTCCTGCTAAAGCCCTCTCAGGTGTACCACCAGGTGGTTGCTTGTGATCAGGCGCTGGTTAAGCTGGTTACCAGTTACCTGTGGGTGTCTGCGGGGAGTCGGGCTGTGGAGGCTCGTCACCTCCTCTCCATCCACCTCCAGGCTCTCGTCGCCAGGCTGGTTCTTCACCAGCTGGGCGTCTTTCCGCCGGTTAGCTCTCTCCATAGGGCACCGGCAGCTTACCGGGACAGTCAGCGGCGGTTCTACACGTTAACGTCCCATTAAATCCAGCTTTAGCACCGATTGGTTTCAGAGCTGGACTAACGGGAAGCTAAGCTGTGCTAATGCTAACTACGTTGCTAACAGCAAGTCTAAAACCCACTCCCTGAAACCGGAAACACGTCACAACGGAAAAATCTGCCCGGTGGCTAATTCGTGGTTATTTTTTTCGTTTAAAGCGACAAAACTTTCCGTTTAAGTTCCGTTAAAATTCTGGTGTTTTTAGCATTGGCTGCCTGCACCGTATCCTGGAAACGGGGCGCGCAAGGCATCATGGGGAATGTAGTTATCTTAGGAAGACGAGCCTAAGTCACGCCCATCTACTTCAGAAGGGATAGAGAGAAGTGGAATAGTGATGACTGATATCAGTGATCATCTGCCAATTTTCACAGTCTATAAAAATCACCAGATCAAAAATCAACAAAAAATGGAAAAACTTATAAGGGACAGGTCACAAAACGCTATAGACGCACTAAAAAGAGATCTGGAACAACAAAACTGGGAAGAAGTATATGTTGATGATGTAAACATGGCTTACAATTCTTTTATAGGAATATTATGTAGTCAATATGACAAAAACTGTAAAACAAAAACTCAAACACAAAGAGGGAGGATGAACAAACCATGGATGACAAAAGGGCTGCTGAACGCCTGTAAGAAAAAAAATACATTATATAGATGTTTTTTAAAACTAAGAACAAGTGAAGCAGAAAGGAAATACAAAAAATATAAGAATAAATTAGTTTCTATAATCAAAAGACAAAAAAAGGAATATTATAGCAATTTATTAGAAGAAAACAAAAATAATATTAGAGCAACTTGGGGAATAATAAATAATGTCATAAAAAGAAATCAAATAGCTTCAACTGTTCCAAATTATTTTGAAAACGGACAGTCTGAAATTAGTGAAACCAGTAAAATAGTAAATGAATTTAACAATTTTTTTTACTAATGTGGGGCCTGACCTGGCAAAAAACATTCCAAAAAGAACAAATTATAGTATAGGTGAGAATATCAAAAGCAATGAAAACAGTATATATTTAAGTCCAGTAACTAGTGATGAAATAAGAAATATTATCAATAAATGCATCAATAAAAGAAGTACTGACTGTGACGGTTTAGACATAACCTTAATAAAAAATATAATAGAAAGTATTATTCATCCATTGACTTACATATGTAATTTATCTTTTGCAACAGGGACATTTCCTAACAGGATGAAAATTGCAAAAGTCATACCACTTCATAAAAGTGGAGACAAACATATCTTTTCCAACTACAGACCAATATCTTTATTGTCACAATTCTCAAAAATATTAGAAAAATTATATATTGCCAGGTTGGACCGATTCCTGATCAATGAAGAGATATTAAATGACAGTCAGTATGGTTTTAGAACAAATCATTCAACATCCATGGCATTAATGGAATTAACAGAAGAAATATCGGAAGCCCTTGACAAAAAAAATCATCTCATAAGTATCTTTATTGATTTAAAAAAAGCATTCGATACAGTGGATCATACAATTCTTATTAAAAAACTTTGTAAATATGGCATCAAAGGGATGGCCCTAAAATGGATAACTAGTTATCTTACCGATAGGCAGCAATATGTTCAAATAAACAACACAAAATCACATATAAATAACATTACTTGTGGTGTACCACAAGGGTCGGTATTGGGCCCTAAACTATTTATCATTTATATAAATGACATTGTTGAGGCATCCAATATATTAAAATGCACCTTATTTGCAGATGATACAACTTTTTACTATTCAGGAGATAATGTTGAGCAGATGATAGAAGTGATGCAAACAGAGATGAAAAAAATTAAACTATGGTTTGATGGAAACAAACTATCATTAAACAGTGATAAATCCTGTTTTATGATATTTAGTAATACAAATTCAAATGATGAAATTTTATTAAATATAGATGAGATTAATATTAAAAGAGTTCAAGAAGTCAAGTATCTGGGAGTCATCATTGATGAAAAACTGTCATGGAAACTACATATAAACAGTGTCAAAACTAAAATATCTAAAACGATTGCACTGTTACATAGAGCAAAAGGGTTGCTTGATAATAATTCATTATATTTGTTATATAACTCACTGATCGTACCATACCTGAACTACTGCATTGAAATCTGGGGAACAACATATAAAACTTACACAAATTCCATTTACATCTTACAGAAAAAAGCAATAAGAATAATCACAAGGAGCAACTACAGAGATCCGTCCAATCCATTATTTATTAAATTAAAAACACTAAAATTCTATGATCTGGTGGACTACAATATTTTAAAATGTATGTATAATGCAAACAAAAGGAACGTACCTGCAGGATTAATTAAACGATTTTCAAAAAGACATAGCAAATATGATTTAAAGGGACATGAATTATTTAATATACCTAGACATCGGATACTCGTAAAGGAACATTGTGTCTCCATATATGGAGTTAAATTGTGGAATAAATTGAATACTGAACTCAAGAATGCAAAAACAATATTGACTTTCAAAAAAGAGATAAAAAATAAAACGATTAACTTATATAGATCCATTACATAAATGTGTGAGGGGAGGGGGGTGGGGGGGATTAAAGGAACAAAATATTAACCTAGTATGTGCTTGTATGTGTATATATGTATGTATATAGATCTGTAACTTAATGCTTCTTTCTGTGTAACTTGTTTTCTTTTTCTATTTTTTTCTCAAATTCATGGGTTGAGATTTTGTCGGCCAACAAGTCCAGGAACTATATTGTTCAATTTCCTTAAGAGTCATATGATTATTTCATTTGTATTAATGCTATTTTAGTTAAAAGGGGCAGACAACATAAGTTTTTCTTCTTTCTGTCCCCTTTTTCATTTTGGCTTGCAGCAATTTAGTTCTGATTGTATTTTTATTTTAATGTCAATAAATGAAAATAAAAGATTAAAAAAAAAAAAAAAAAAAAACTTCCGGTCGTTGGTTCCGCCGGAAGCAAATATGGTAGGAATATCCAAACACACACACACACACACACACACACACACACACACACACACACACACACACACACACACACACACACACACACACACACACACACGTGGAGATACGCGGGCCCAGCCAGGATCATTTCATGCATTGCCATGCTGTAATTGTTGCAAGTTCTGAATGATCATTGTTTTTCTCAAATGAGTTCATTTATACATTAATAAATTAATTAAGTAGTTTTCAGTTCTTTGAAAATATATGTTGTATTTGCAAACTGAAATGTATGTAAAAAAAAGGACATGAAAAATAAGGCATAAAAAAAAACAAATATAAAAACGCCAGGATCCGATTACCTGACTAGAGCTAACCAGTCATCTAAATGGACATCCCCTTTAGCCAAGTAGCCAGGGGGCATGATCAATCGGGTCACAGTGACAGGATATTATACATATATATAAACTCCTCACATGCATGGGGACACCATGCTAACTCTACACATGGAGCGGGACAACATGCTAACTCAAAACATGCATGGGGACAACATGCTAACTCAACACATGGAGAGGGACAACATGCTAACTCAACACATGGAGAGGGACAACATGCTAACTCTACACATGGAGAGGGACAACATGCTAACTCAACACATGCATGGGGACAACATGCTAACTCCTCACATGCATGGGGACAATGTGCTAACTCAAAACATGCATGGGGACAACATGCTAACTCTACACATGGAGAGGGACAACATGCTAACTCAACACATGCATGGGGACAACATGCTAACTCCTCACATGCATGGGGACAACATGCTAACTCAAAACATGCATGGGGACAACATGCTAACTCAACACATGGAGAGGGACAACATGCTAACTCAACACATGGAGAGGGACAACATGCTAACTCAACACATGGAAAGGGACAACATGCTAACTCAACACATGCATGGGGACAACATGCTAACTCCTCACATGCATGGGGACATGCTAACTCTACACATGGAGAGGGACAACATGCTAACTCAACACATGCATGGGGACAACATGCTAACTCAACACATGCATGGGGAAAACATGCTAACTCTACACATGGAGAGGGTCAACATGCTAACTCAACACATGGAGAGGGACAACATGCTAACTCAACACATGCATGGAGACAACATGCTAACTCCTCACATGCATGGGGACAACATGCTAATTCTACACATGGAGAGGGACAACATGCTAACTCAACACATGCATGGAGACAACATGCTAACTCCTCACATGCATGGGGACAACATGCTAACTCTACACATGGAGAGGGACAACATGCTAACTCAACACATGCATGGGGACAACATGCTAACTCAACACATGCATGGGGACAACATGCTAACTCTACACATGGAGAGGGACAACATGCTAACTCAACACATGCATGGGGACAACATGCTAACTCAACACATGCATGGGGACACCATGCTAACTCTACACATGGAGAGGGACAACATGCTAACTCAACACATGCATGGGGACAACATGCTAACTCCTCACATGCATGGGGACAACATGCTAACTCAAAACATGCATGGGGACAACATGCTAACTCAAAACATGCATGGGGACAACATGCTAACTCAACACATGCATGGGGATACCATGCTAACTCTACACATGGAGAGGGACAACATGCTAACTCAACACATGCATGGGGACAACATGCTAACTCCTCACATGCATGGGGACAACATGCTAACTCAAAACATGCATGGGGACAACATGCTAACTCTACACATGGAGAGGGACAACATGCTAACTCAACACATGGAGAGGGACAACATGCTAACTCAACACATGGAGAGGGACAACATGCTAACTCAACACATGCATGGGGACAACATGCTAACTCCTCACATGCATGGGGACAACATGCTAACTCAAAACATGCATGGGGACAACATGCTAACTCTACACATGGAGAGGGACAACATGCTAACTCAACACATGGAGAGGGACAACATGCTAACTCAACACATGGAAAGGGACAACATGCTAACTCAACACATGCATGGGGACAACATGCTAACTCCTCACATGCATGGGGACAACATGCTAACTCTACACATGGAGAGGGACAACATGCTAACTCAACACATGCATGGGGAAAACATGCTAACTCTACACATGGAGAGGGTCAACATGCTAACTCAACACATGGAGAGGGACAACATGCTATTTCAACACATGCATGGAGACAACATGCTAACTCCTCACATGCATGGGGACAACATGCTAATTCTACACATGGAGAGGGACAACATGCTAACTCAACACATGCATGGAGACAACATGCTAACTCCTCACATGCATGGGGACAACATGCTAACTCTACACATGGAGAGGGACAACATGCTAACTCAACACATGCATGGGGACAACATGCTAACTCAACACATGCATGGGGACAACATGCTAACTCTACACATGGAGAGGGACAACATGCTAACTCAACACATGCATGGGGACAACATGCTAACTCTACACATGGAGAGGGACAACATGCTAACTCAACACATGCATGGAGACAACATGCTAACTCCTCACATGCATGGGGACAACATGCTAACTCTACACATGGAGAGGAACAACATGCTAACTCAACACATGCATGGGGACAACATGCTAACTCAACACATGCATGGGGACAACATGCTAACTCAACACACGGAGAGGGACAACATGCTAACTCTACACATGGAGAGGGACAACATGCTAACTCAACACATGCATGGGGACACCATGCTAACTCTACACATGCATGGGGACAACATGCTAACTCTACACATGCATGGGGACAACATGCTAACTCTTCACATGGAGAGGGACAACATGCTAACTCAACACATGCATGGGGACAACATGCTAACTCAACACATGCATGGGGACACCATGCTAACTCTACACATGGAGAGGGACAACATGCTAACTCAACACATGCATGGGGACACCATGCTAACTCTACACATGCATGGGGACAACATGCTAACTCTACACATGCATGGGGACAACATGCTAACTCTACACATGCATGGGGACAACATGCTAACTCTACACACGGAGAGGGACAACATGCTAACTCTACACATGGAGAGGGACAACATGCTAACTCAACACATGCATGGGGACAACATGCTAACTCAACACATGCATGGGGACAACATGCTAACTCTACACATGCATGGGGACAACATGCTAACTCCACACATGGATAGAGATGCTGACTCAGTAGATTGTCTATCACATAGCACGTTAACGCCACTAGTGAAGGCAGTCCAACGAGCTGAACACAATACAATCAAAGCTACACATTAAAATAAGATTTAACAATAAGTCCCTGTTGAAAGGAAACATCACCGACTCAGAAAAACAACAAAATCAGTGTGGAGTGCAGTGATGGGGGAGAATAACATAAAAGAACATGTTTCCTAAATCATAAAAACATCCATCTACTTTTCTAGTGCAGCCCAAACAGAGACAAGTCAGGACTAGTTCAGTGAATTCCTGAAGCCTGACGTGACCACAGAGCGCCTCCTTCAAAGCCAGGCACCAGGTGAACAGGCTGAGCAGGTATGAGACTGAAAACGAGAGGAACCAGGTCCATGTGAAACCATGTGCCCAGGTTCATGCTGCAGTTGGGTCCTCTGATAGGGTTCCTGCTGGAGGACATTTGATGCTTTATCTGAGGTCCAGATAAAGCATCAACATAAGAACTTGTGTCAGAAAAAGGTCAGAGGCGGCTCAGAGACATGTAGCTCCTCCCCATCATTGCAACTCCACACTGGGTGTGTCTGAGGAAGCAAACTTCCTGTAGCTGCAGTGATGTCAGAGTTTCAGGAGATGGTGAGCAGAGGAACATGAGAGCTGTCAGGAGCTGATGTCCTCAAGACCTTTTTTAGTGTCTCAGACTTTGGCAGAGAAATGAAGATGTTGGTGGTGTTTGTGATCCTGCTGCTCGGTAAGATCAGCTTCATCTCTCTGCTCTGATCATCCCTTACTTCGGTCTCACTGCTGCTCTTAAACTGTCACTCTGAAAAAGCATACCTGGTTCTGGTTTTTGGTTCTATAACTTTAATTTACTATGTTACATAAACTATAACTATAATTAGCTATGTTACCATAAACTATAACTATATTTAGTTATGTTACCATAAACTATAACTATAATTAGCTATGTTACCATAAACTATAACTTTAATTTACTATGTTACATAAACTATAACTATAATTAGCTATGTTACCATAAACTATAACTATAATTAGCTTTGTTACCATAAACTATAACTAAAATTTACTATGTTACCATAAACTATAACTTTAATTTACTATGTTACATAAACTATAACTATAATTAGCTATGTTACCATAAACTATAACTATAATTAGCTTTGTTACCATAAACTGTAACTATAATTTACTATGTTACCATAAACTATAACTATAATTTACTATGTTACATAAACTATAACTATAATTAGCTATGTTACCATAAACTATAACTTTAATTTACTATGTTACATAAACTGTAACAATAATTAGCTTTGTTACCATAAACTATAACTATAATTTACTATGTTACCATAAACTATAACTATAATTTACTATGTTACATAAACTATAACTATAATTAGCTATGTTACCATAAACTATAACTTTAATTTACTATGTTACATAAACTATAACTATAATTTACTATGTTACCATAAACTATAACTATAATTAGTTATGTTACCATAAACTATACCTATAATTAGCTATGTTACCATAAACTATAACTTTAATTTACTATGTTACATGAACTATAACTATAATTAGCTATGTTACCATAAACTATAACTATAATTAGCTTTGTTACCATAAACAATAACTATAATTTACTATGTTACCATAAACTATAACTATAATTTACTATGTTACATAATTTATAACTATAATTAGCTATGTTACCATAAACTATAACTTTAATTTACTATGTTACATAAACTATAACTATAATTTGCTATGTTACATAAACTATAACTATAATTAGCTATGTTACCATAAACTATAACTATAATTTACTATGTTACCATAAACTATAACTTTAATTTACTATGTTACATAAACTATAACTATAATTAGCTATGTTACCATAAACTATAACTATAATTTACTATGTTACCATAAACTATAACTATAAGTAGCTATGTTACCATAAACTATAACTAAAATTATTTATGTTACCATAAACTATAACTATAATTTACTATGTTACCATAAACTATAACTAAAATTTACTATGTAACCATAAACTATAACTTTAATTTACTATGTTAGATGAACTATAACTATAATTAGCTATGTTACCATAAACTATAACTATAATTTACAATGTTACCATAAACTATAACTATAAGTAGCTATGTTACCATAAACTATAACTATAATTAGCTAAGTTACCATAAACTATAACTATAATTTACTATGTTACCATAAACTATAACTATAAGTAGCTATGTTACCATAAACTATAACTATAATTAGCTAAGTTACCATAAACTATAACTATAATTTACTATGTTACCATAAATTGTAACTATAATTAGCTATGTTACCATAAACTATAACTATAATTTACTATGTTACATAAACTATAACTATAATTAGCTATGTTACCATAAACTATAACTATAATTTACTATGTTACAATAAATTATAACTATAATTAGCTATGTTACCATAAACTATAACTTTAATTTACTATGTTACATAAACTATAACTATAATTAGCTATGTTACCATGAACTACAACTTTAATTTACTATGTTACATAAACTATAACTCTAATTAGCTATGTTACCATAAACTATAACTTTAATTTACTATGTTACATAAACTGTAACTATAATTAGCTATGTTACCATAAACTATAATTATAATTTACTATGTTACCATAAACTATAACTATAATTAGCTTTGTTACCATAAACTATAACTATAATTTACTATGTTACCATAAACTATACCTATAATTTTCTATGTTACCATAAACTATAACAATAATTAGTTATGTTACCATAAACTAAAACTATAATTAGCTATGTTACCATAAGCTATAACTATAATTAGTTATGTTACAATAAACTATAACTATAATAAGCTATGTTACCATAAACTAAAACTATAATTAGCTATGTTACCATAAGCTATAACTATAATTAGCTATGTTACCATAAACTATAACTATAATTAGCTATGTTACCATAAACTATAACTATAAATAGCTATGTTATCATAAGCTATAACTATAATTAGTTATGTTACCATAAACTATAACTATAATTAGCTTTGTTACCATAAACTATAATTATAATTAGCTATGTTACCATAAACTATAACTATAATTAGCTTTGTTACCATAAACTATAACTATAATTATCTATGTTACCATAAACTATAACTATAATTTACTATGTTACCATAAACTATAACTATAATTAGCTTTGTTACCATAAACTATAACTATAATTAGCTATGTTACCATAAACTATAACTATAATTTACTATGTTACCATAAACTATAACTATAATTAGTTATGTTACCATAAACTAAAACTATAATTAGCTATGTTACCATAAGCTATAACTATAATTAGTTATGTTACCATAAACTATAACTATAATTAGCTATGTTACCATAAACTATAACTATAATTAGCTATGTTACCATAAACTATAACTATAATTAGTTATGTTACCATAAGCTATAACTATAATTTGTTATGTTACCATTAGCTATAACTATAATTAACTATGTCACCATAAACTATAACTATAATTAGCTTTGATACCATAAGCTATAACTATAATAAGTTATGTTACCATTAGCTATAACTATAATTAGCTATGTTACCATAAGCTATAGCTATAATTAGCAATGCTACCAGAAGCTATAACTATAATTAGCTCTGTTACCATAAGCTATAACTATAGTTAGCTATGTTACCATAAGCTATAACTATAATTAGTTATGTTACCATAAACTATAACTAAAATTAGTTATGTTACCATAAGCTATAACTATAATTACCTATGGTACCATAAACTATAACTATAATTAGCTATGTTACCATAAGCTATAACTATAATTAGTTATGTTACCATTAGCTATAACTATTATTAGCTTTGTTACCATAAGCCATAGCTATAATTAGCTATGCTACCATAAGCAATAACTATAATTAGCTATGTTACCTTAAGCTATAACTATAATTAGTTATGTTACCATAAACTATAACTATAATTAGTTATGTTACCATAAACTATAACTATAATTAGCTATGTTACCATAAACTATAACTATAATTAGCTATGTTACCATAAACTATAACTATAATTAGTTATGTTACCATAAGCTATAACTATAATAAGTTATGTTACCATTAGCTATAACTATAATTAGCTATGTTACCAAAAGCTATAGCTATAATTAGCTATGTTACCATAAACTATAACTATAATTAGTTATGGACCATAAACTATAACTATAATTAGCTATGTTACCATAAACTATAACTATAATTAGCTATGTTACCATAAACTATAACTATAATTAGCTATGTTACCATAAGCTATAACTATAATTAGCTATGTTACCATAAGCTATAACTATAATTAGTTATGTTACCATTAGCTATAACTATTATTAGCTTTGTTACCATAAGCCATAGCTATAATTAGCTATGCTACCATAAGCTATAACTATAATTAGCTATGTTACCATAAGCTATAACTATAATTAGTTATGTTACCATAAACTATAACTATAATTAGTTATGTTACCATAAACTATAACTATAATTAGCTATGTTACCATAAACTTTAACTATAATTAGCTATGTTACCATAAGCTATAACTATAATTAGTTATGTTACCATAAACTATAACTATAATTAGCTATGTTACCATAAAACATAACTATAATTAGCTATGTTCCCATAAGCAATAACTATAATTAGTTATGTTACCATAAACTATAACTATAATTAGTTATGTTACCATAAGCTATAACTATAATTAGTTATGTTACCATTAGCTATAACTATTATTAGCTATGTTACCATAAGCTATAGCTATAATTAGCTATGCTACAATAAGCTATAACTATAATTAGCTATGTTACCATAAACTATAACTATAATTAGTTATGTTACCATAAACTAAAACTAGAATTAGTTATGTTACCATAAACTATAACTATAATTAGCTATGTTACCATAAAATATAACTATAATAAGTTATGTTACCATTAGCTATAACTATAATTAGCTATGTTACCATGAGCTATAGCTATAATTAGCAATGCTACCATAAGCTATAACTATAATTAGCTCTGTTACCATAAGCTATAACTATAATTAGTTATGTTACCATAAGCTATAACTATAATTTGTTATGTTACCATTAGCTATAACTATAATTAACTATGTTACCATAAACTATAACTATAATTAGCTATGTTACCATAAGCTATAACTATAATAAGTTATGTTACCATTAGCTATAACTATAATTAGCTATGTTACCATAAGCTATAGCTATAATTAGCAATGCTACCATAAGCTATAACTATAATTAGCTCTAATACCATAAGCTATAACTATAATTAGCTATTTTACCATAAGCTATAACTATAATTAGTTATGTTACCATAAACTATAACTACAATTAGTTATGTTACCATAAGCTATAACTATAATTACCTATGGTACCATAAACTATAACTATAATTAGCCATGTTACCATAAGCTATAACTATAATTAGTTATGTTACCATTAGCTATAACTATTATTAGCATTGTTACCATAAGCCATAGCTATAATTAGCTATGCTACCATAAGCCATAACTATAATTAGCTATGTTACCTTAAGCTATAACTATAATTAGTTATGTTACCATAAACTATAACTATAATTA